GACTACAGATGCACACCTCCACACCTGGCTAATTTTTTGTAGAGATGGCAGGGTCTCACCATGTTGCCCAGGCTGGTCTCAAACCCCTGTTCTCAAGAGATCCTCCTGCCTCAGCCTCCCAAAGTGCTGGGATTATAGGAAGAGCCACTGCACCTGGCCTTGCTTACTTTTAAATAAGCAGCCACCAGTGATTTTCTCAAGATGTTAGCAAAAATGCAGAAAACAGTTTGCCTGTTCCTTAGTTTGGAGATTTTGTCTTTAACAACTTTCCCCAGTTCCCCAGTTTCTTCCTGCCTAGAGGTCTTCCCTTATGCCTGACCTGTCTTCACTCCTGCTGCAGGCAAACAAATTCCTAGGCAAAGGTCACTTTTTTGTTTGTTTTGAGAACAGAGTCTTCCTCTGTCGCTCAGGCTGGAGTTGCAGTGGTGGGATCTCGGTTCACTGCAAGCTCCGGCTTCCCAGGGTACAAACGATTCTCCTGCCTCAGCCTCCCCGTACCTGGGGCTGCAGGCGCACGCCACCACCACCCGGCTAATTTTTTATTTTTATTTTATTTTATTTTATTTATTTTTTTTGAGACGGAGTCTCGCTCTGTCGCCAGGGCTTGAGTGCAGTGGCGGATCTAGTCTCACTGCAAGCTCCGCCTCCTGGGTTACGCCATTCTCCTGCCTCAGCCTCCCGAGTAGCTGGGACTACAGGCGCCCGCCACCTCGCCCCGGCTAGTTTTTGTATTTTTTAATAGAGACGGGGTTTCACGCTGTGTTAGCCGGATGGTCTCGATCTCCTGACCTCGTGATCCGCCTCGCTCGGCCTCCACAAGTGCTGGGATTACAGGCTTGAGCACCGCGCGCCGGCCAATTTTTATATTTTTAGTAGAGACAGGGTTTAGCCATCTTGGCCAGGCTGGCCTCGAACTCCTGACCTCAGGTGATCTGCCCGTCTTGGCCTCCCAAAGTGCTGGGATTACCGGTGTGAGCCACGCGGCCCGGCCCAACACGGTAATATGCTTCATGAACCATGGACCCTATCTTCCAATCTGAAATAGAATTTCGGTCGTCCCTTACTTTGTATGGTTTTTGGCTCTATAAAACTTCCATACTTTATTTATTATGTATCCTGTCCCTCCCCCACCGCAAAATGTAAATTTGGTAAGAAACTTTTGATTTGTCCTCTGCTAGATCCCAGCGACGGAAAGCAATGAGCACACATTAGGCGTCCATTAAATTGATTTCACTTGTTGAATGAATGAGTTAGCGAAGCGCTCACGGACTGACCATCAGGGGGCGTCAGAGAAACTGGATAGAGGCGGAAATGAAGAAAAAAGAATTACTTCGAACTTTCAGGCATGGTTCCGCGAGGTTTGAACTCGCTCGGCCACCGTAGTGCTTAGAGGCCGAAAAGGTGCAGCCCCTTCCGGGCTCTGCGGTACCGGACGACGGCTTTGGGATGTCGGAAATTGATCCTAGAGGTCCCAGGGTAGCCGCCTTGCGAAGCTGAGGCTCCAGCCGAGGGTTCCAGGCCTCCGACCGGCCCAGCAGTGAACCTGGCTGCCGGACGCTTCAGGGCTGGGAGCAGGGAGCGTGGGTCGCCATGGCGACGCCGGCGGGGCTGGAGCGCTGGGTTCAGGACGAGCTGCACTCGGTGTTGGGGCTGAGCGAGCGGCACGTCGCCCAGTTCCTGATCGGTACTGCACAGCGCTGCACGTCGGCCGAGGAGTTCGTGCAGCGCCTACGAGACACTGATACTTTGGATCTCAGTGGGCCGGCCCGGGACTTCGCCCTGAGACTCTGGAACAAGGTGTCGGCAGGGTGGGGAGGGGTCCTGTGATTTGTCCCGATGAGGCTGGCCTAACGGTCCATCGAGGAGTTAAGAAAGCTCAGTTCACAAGCACTTATTCTTTGTCCGTTGTCGCCTAGGTACTGTGCTAGCTGCTGGACGCCCAGCTCAGTGGAGAAGATTGAGGAGGGCTTAGGTGTGTCGGGTTAAACGCAATAGAACGGTGTTTTTCGAACTCTTAACATGCATCCAGGGCCCTTGTTAAAATGCAGATTGCGATTCAGTAGGGATCTTAGTTTCTGCATTTCTTTCTTTTTCTTTCTTTCTTTCCTTTTTTTTTTTTTTTTTTTTTTTTGAGAGACACAGCCTCGCTCGCCCTGTCGCCCAGGCTGGATTGCGGTCGTAAGATCACGGCTCACTACAGCGTCGATCTCCCTGGCTAAAGCGACCCTCCCATCTCATCTTCCCCAGTAGCTGGGACTACGGGCATGCGCCACCACCCCCGGCTAATATCTTATTTTTATTTTTATTTTTATTTTTAGAGACGAGGCCTTGGTGTGTTGCGCAGGCTGGTCTCTAACTCCTCAGCTCAACAGTCCTCCTCTCTCAGCCCTGCAAAGTGCTGGGATTACAGGCGTGAGCCACCTTGCCCGGCCCCCCTCAGCTTCTGAACTTCCTTTCAGCCGTTTAATTAACAGAGGAGGCCCGGTGCAGTGGCTCACACCTGTAATCCCAGCACCCCAGAAGGCTGAGGCAGGAGGATCACTTGAGCCCAGGAGTTCGAGACCAGCCTGGGCAACATAGTGAAACCTCCCTACAAAAAATTTAAAAATTAATTGGGTGTTGTAGTGTGCACCTATGTTTCCAGCTACTTAGGAGCCTGAGGTGGGAGGATCACTTGAGCCCAAGAGGGACAGAGTGAAACCCTGTCTGTAAAAAAAGCCAAAAAGCTGTGGGCCCCATTCAGGATGATAAACATGGGGTGAAGCCATGAAGAAGAAAGAATGAAGGCTGGTTAGCTGGTTTAAAACTAAGTAATTGTGCCCGGGTGCGGTGGCTCACGCCTGTAATCCCAGCACTTTGGGAGGCCCAGGCAACTGGATCATGAGGTCAGGAGTTTGAGACCAACCTGGCCAACATGGTGAAACCTCATCTCTACTAAAAATACAGAAATTAGTCGGGCGTGGTGGCAGGCGCCTGTAATCCCAGCTACTTGGGAGGCTGAGGCAGGGGAATTGCTTGAACCTAGGAGGTGGAGGTTGAAGTGAGCCGAGATCACGCCATTGCACTCCAGCTCCGGGTGACAGACCAAGACTCCATCTCGGCGGGCCGGGGGAGACTAAGTAATTGCTTAAATTAGGAACAGAGCTAGAGCTAAGTGGGAGGGCAGAGATCAGGAGTTGCTCAGACCTCCTTATCTTCCCCTCTACTGACAGGTACCACGAAAGGCAGTGGTAGAAAAGCCAGCGCGGGCAGCAGAGCGAGAGGCCCGAGCCCTGCTGGAGAAGAACCGATCTTATAGGTTGTTGGAAGACAGTGAAG